TGGCTGGGCCGAGCCGTGTCCGTCAGGAGCGGTCAGAAAGGGGGGAGGAGCTACGTGCGGCTGAGGGACGCCGTGCGCCGCGTGTCAGTGATGGCAGTCGGGCTGTGGTCACAGGGGTACAAAAAGTATCGGGCGTCCCCAGTGGCTACGCGTTTCGAGGGGTTACCTCTTTATCAAGCCTCAAGATGCTCCAAGATTTTTCCTTTTAAATGTGGGTATACTGCTGAATCCTGACCAGAGGGTTTGGCTCGTCTATGCTGTGCCATACGCTGGTGTAGCTTCTGTTTTTTTTTTCACCGACATACAATTCTGAACCATGAAAGGCAAAATATATACAGGTTATCTCCAGCTTTATACATCTCGCTCCTTCCCTCTATAAGGGGAAGTGATGACATGAAAATTATCTTCCATTTCATGAAGGATATACGGAATTTCAGACAAATTTAATGAAGGCTTTTCCTTTTTTTCGGTATGTTTCGGCCTTCACTTTCTCTTTTTCAGACTTCATTTTCACGTCCCTGCCAGCTACAGCCTGCTAACTATTCTTAAGTGTTGCTTAAACTTTAATGAAACTCTTAAATTAAACTGAGACTAAACAACAAAAGCGCACGCACACAATTAACAAGGGCTTAAAACCATCAACAAACAATCAGCGTGCAATTAAACAATAATGGCGTGCTTATCGGCGTCCTGGAGAGGAACATACCGCGGTGATCTGTTAGTCAATCGATGTTTCTGTGGTGATGAGTAGATGGAAGCTGCGGACTCCTTTTGATGGAATTCTTCCTCCGGAGCCGCGGCCTTTTTCTTGGCTGATTTTGTTGACGTGGAGAGCGACATCCAGTTTACAGCGAACGCCAACTTTGTAGTTGCATGAAATCAGTGGCTGCGTGTACCATGCCGGTGTCCCAGGGGAGTCTTGGCTTCGCGCCATGGCTTTATAATATGACTTGGCCATTGAATGGATGAGGCGCAAGTATGGGGAAGCAACCATTTAATGTTGCCCATGGGCTGACTGATCCTGGCCGTTTTCCAACAAGCTGGGATATCTTTCTATGCAAAAGACTTTTGATCGTGATGGAAAGAATCTAATTAATTTAGTGTTCGGTGTTAAGTATGATGGCCGATGTGAGCTTGATTTTCAATCAAAATTGACAATTTTACCAAAATTTCATTGCGGTTGGCCCTGTTGCATTTCTTGTAAAGCTTAAAAATGTTTTCCTCTTTAACGCTGTGACACCCAGGTCCCGCCAACACAGCAATGTTATAAGGATCACATGACTTTGTTATAAAGAAAAGGTTAGAGTTGCCGTTGGGTTTGGGGTTTGGGTTAGTGCCAGTGAAATATTTAACATTTTGTTTTTAGCACAAATATATGTCCAGGTTAAAAGGAGCTTCTATGACCCTCGGAAACCATTTCAAGCACATGGCACCCTTAACAAAACACCAGCATTTCTTCTATTGACTCCAATGCATTTCACAGGATAGAGAAATGACACCAAAATGTCCTGAATTTTGGCAAAGAGAAAACTCCCAATTTTTGCTCATCCCTAGTCAGTCAATTAGATGGTGTTGGGGTTTTTTTTTTCCCCTTAAGGTGCCCATACACCTGACTATTATCGTACGATAGTTGTGGGTGATCCCGCGATCGTACGTTAATCGGCAGGTGTTCGGGCAGCGTGTGACCGCTTCTACTGTACGGTCGCACGACTTTCGTCTTCCTAGCACGCTAGAAAACCCGATTTTCGGCGGGTTGGTTTCGCGATCGTAAGACAAAAAGCCGCACGGGCCGGTGTGTGCAAGCGCATACTGCCCGCTCAACATTGCAATCATCGGCAAGCCCTCCCCTCAGCTGGGCGGGCTTTCGATGATCGCAAGTACGATCTGCCTGTCTTAAGATGGGCAGGTCATGCGAAATTTTAAGCACCTTACAACCATCGCACAACGAAAGTCATGTGACGGTTGTAAGGTGTATGGCCAGCTTTAGGGTTGAACCCTAAAGCTGGCCA